AGTTTGTGTAAAATGTTTCGGGGGAAGAGGGGGAAGAATCACAATGGAAACTGGTTTTGCTCAGATTTTAAGAAGGTCTCCTCCTTCCCCCTCCAAGATTAAAGACTATAGTCCCTTGATTTGCATTTATAATCTGTCAAAGACATGGTAAACACAGAATATATTCCTCCATTACTTTTTGTGAAGGTGCACAACATAATTATCCATCATAAGCAAACCATTAAAGAAAAGGAATCTGGGTATGAAATATATGTAAAAACAATGAGACTCTGTGGCATTTTTGCATAAGCCTCCCCCAGTCACCCACCTCTCTCTCCCTCCCCATCAATGTGGTTGATGCAAAGATCATTCAAAGGTGCGTGCAGATAACGATTAGCAATCACCCTGCACAGAAGTCTGACCCCAACAGTGAGCAGATGCAACACACACCTCATGTACTGTAGCTGTGTGTTACTCTTAGTGGCAGGCAAGGAGAGATGGTCAGTGACTCCACTAGCTTGCAGTTGTAGTTATGCTTAAAGCAAGTATGTTCTAGACTCTGCAGAAATGCACAGCACAGAGTGGAAAGAACCTGTCATCCACACATTCCTGGGAGACCAGGAGGCTCCATACATGCTCCCTGGAGATAGAAACATCCACAGGATAAATTACACAGTAATTTAACGTAGCCTGAGTTTGTACACAATCCCCTACTCACCACACATGCTTTGGCAGCAGTCATAAGCAAATATAAAATATTTTTAATATAATAACTACTTACAACAACCAAAAACTAAAGAAAATTCTCTTCCCAAAGTCACCAGGCTAAGTGGAGAGCACTTCCTACTTCGTGGTAGCAAGGGGTACTCCGATTCCCTTATGGGTGACATCAGCAGGGCCATGTGGAGGCTGAGCTTTGCCTCGTGTCTGGAGGTAGTATGTGGAAATCCAATGCCCTCACTGGGGCCAAGAAAAATCCAAACTTCCTCCCTCACCCATGAGCAATAAAGTTGACCAGGTCAATGCTCATTGGTATTCCACTTTCTATGCCAGTGGCACATCAGTGAGGCCAAGCAGGGAGCTGAACTGAGGTGCACTGCTGCCCATGCCACACTAGGCCAGCAAGGTCACTTGGGGAGCTTATCATGCACTTCCACATGGGATATTAGTATACTGAGCAGTATTTCTTAGTCTTTTTCTCCCATTTAATATATGTTATAAGAAGATCATAAATAATTCACATCTTCAAAAAAATCTGTTTGTAGATTTAAAACCTCAGTAAAAGTGTCAGGATTCTTTTATTTTAAGGAGTTTAAAGACTAATTGACTTGATCTTCCAAGGGGATAAATTCCCCTCAGGTAGGAAGACTTTACTCCTAAAAACAAATTATTCTTCTTACTACAAGAGAGGATATAAAGGTTCCCAATATCAAAAAAAATGGCAAATGTTTAAAGAGATGGAAATACTAATTACTTGGATTTGATTAGTACCATTGAATACATTGAGCAAGGGTTTAAAATGTCAAAAGAATGGGGTCACAAAATTCTTTAGCTCAGGGAAAACACAAGGCATGAGACCACAGTGACCAAGGTCACTATAACCTTGCATAGCAGATTTCTACAGACATCCTGATGCCGTGAAGATAATAAATAACCCTAATAAAGGCATTTCCTGCTATGGCAATTCATACCTGAAATGTATAACATCAATGACAAATGACCAATCCGTGTCCTATGCTATTCGTATAGATAAATGCAATTGTAACAACGAGTTTGCTGTAAACTTCTTGTCCATTTTATTTTTTGATATATTAAAATGCAGGCCCTTTGGATTTCATTTTGGTAGAAACTTATTTTGGCAACTAGAATAAGTGTTTGCCTTGGGTGGCAAGACACTTTGTGGCTTAAATAAACTGTTCTTACACTTGGTTTATATCAACTTGCCTTTTAGGGTAACACTTTTGGTTACCATGAATGGACCCAAAAGTGACTATACTTGACTCCCTAGTAGCTCAATTTAAAAAAAGAAGAATTGTCTGTCTTTGCATTAAATCGAGTACTGTCAACATTTAAGATTTTTGGTCTGTTTTATTTTTTCTTTGTTTTACTCTTTTGTTTTTCTCAGTATACTCCCTTAACAAGAGAAAATTATATTTTATTTTTGTATTAGTTTTCTAGGTCTGCCATAACAAAATTCCTCAGACAGAGTAACTTAAAAGTTAGAAACTTATTTTCTCAGCATTCTGAAGGCTGAAAGTTCCCAGTCAAGATGTCATCAGATTTGTTATCTTCTGAAGTTTCACTGCTTGGTTTCAAGATGTCTGCTCCTTTCCTGTGTCCTTGCTGGTTTTTTCTCTGTGTATGTGCACTCTTGATGTCTATGCATCCAAATTTTCTCTTCTTATAAGGATGCCAGTAAGATCAGATTATGGTACACCCAAAAGCTTCACTTAAATTAATCACACTAAATACCTAGTATGTAAGTACAATCAAAGGATGAAGTATTAGGGGGAGGAGCACCAACACCTGATTTTGCAGGGACATAAGTAAGCCCATAACAACCACTGTTCACTAAACAAGGTAAAGTTGAATTTCACTGAAATATCAGTGTCAAAACTTGATGAATGTGATATCATGTTTTGTATTTCTGAGAGTAAGAGGTTGTCAACCATTCATCAGCATGAAGTCACGTGCTGCTTAGAATTTCTATGGTATACTTTAAAAAGATACTACTTTGACATTTATAGATATTCCTATGTTACAGAAAATTTAATAATTTATCTTTCCTTCAGTATATGGCTTTTTATATGTAAGGCATTTTTTTAAATGTCTCAAGAAATGATGACCAAGGTTCATCAAATTATAGATATTTTGTATTTTCAAGTACTGTTTCACAATGAATGAATGGATTGATGAATAAACAAACTGTGACTATTCTACTAATAAGGTATATTTCCAGCTGGGATTGAGACTTAGAAGTAGAGGGCTTTCCTAGCATGAGCAAAGCACTGAGTTCTACCCCCAGTATAAAAAAAAGAAAATAAAATAGAAGGAAAGAGAATATTTCTTAGTTATTAGAAAATTCTATCCCATTTTCTTTTTTCCATAGTCTCATGTATGTGTGATAACTTTATACTTTAGCACTATATTATTCCTTTAATTGAAGTTGTACCTAAAGAAAACATAAAATTAAATTCGTATGTTAAAGAAAATAATATATGTACAAAACACTCTTAAATGGCAATGAACTCAACTACTTACATGTGTGATCACCAATTCTCCTGATTCACTGCAATGACAGCAACATTGAAACATATGATAAAGTTTGTACAGGCACAAGCAATGACAGTTATGTCAGAACTACCAGCAGGCCAACAGTTAAGATGTCACAGAGTATAATGTTCATGCTAATTTAAAGAAAGTTACATGAAAAGAAGTGTGTTTCTTAGTATCCCTTGAGTATGATCTATCCTTTGAAAAATCATTACACTAACCATAGAGAGCACTTTCTAAACATGTGCCACTTCATTTCAGCTGCACCACACACTTTGAAATGTTCTCCATGCAAACACTAAAACTGAGAGAACATAAACACAAAAATTGCAAGAATCTAGAGCCAAACCAGATCACATGGTACCAATTCCAGTGGTCCTTCCACTTTGGGATACTTGTACCAATATGGTAAAAACACAGGATTCAGGGCTCTTCCAAGTACCACTTGACATATAGAACCTCTGACTCATCTTTCAGGTGTGCAAAATTAGAAAAAAAAATCATCTTACTTCCTGCAGTTCATGGAAAGTTGTTGTTATTTAAGGTACAGCATTTCACAAATTTCACTATAAATTATTCATGGAACCCTTAACATTTTTCCCAGATCAGTTAAAATGACATAGACAAGACTTCAAAACAGAGGAGGAGAAAGAAAGCCATCCTTTGTGTGATTAATAACACATACATTTTTATTGTGCTTTAATAACACCCACTCTTTTCCCTTGCAAATCCCCATTTCCTAATTAACTATGTACCAAAAACACTTCAACCACACCACAGACATGTTGGTCTATTTTCTATCCTTCATAATCATCAAGATTTTTTATGGCCTCTGGGACTGTGACCCAGCTCTACCCTGCGAGGGAAATGGTCTACAGGTGACTGTCTTCCTCTGTCAGTGCTGTCTCTGCTCATATGCCACCTCCTCAGAAAATCTCCTCATAATCACCCATTCCAAAGTAAAACACAGTGACTTTCTGTACCATCATCTTAATTTGAAATTTTGTATAGCATTTTCTGATATATTCACATGTGTGTGTCTATATTTTTTGCTTATCAGCTACCTCACCCTCCTGCCCACCTGTACCTCCTGTGTACCTTACCATAGAAAATTAGCCCTCTGAGAGCACAGGTATTTTCTGTCTCTCTTACCACTGTCTTTTTTATATTTAAAACCGCCTGGATGCTTTGATGTCTAAAATAGAATATATTCTCAGTCTATGCCTGCTGACTAAATAAACTACATCATCTGTATCATATAAAACTCTGGAAAAAATGAAAGTGAAGATGTTAAAGAGAAAGACCTGGTTATTAATGCATTAAGATTACAAAATCTATTTGAATAAAGGGCAAAAATTCCTCTACTGGGAGTTGGTAAACATTTGCAGCAGCAAACTGCTTGTGAAGAAAGATAACAGAATGTCCTCCTACTCACATTTTTGCCCTGAAGTCTTAGAGGTAAATCTAGAGGAGGTTCCCTTTATCCTGGCTGGTCTGAGTGGCTATTTCATTTCCTGTGCTTAGGAACTGGAGTCAAAAAAAAATTTTTTTGGCCTCACTATATCACATTCCCTTGAGGCTAAAGAGAACTGACCAGAGATCCATATCTCTCCCCTTTATGGAAACAAAGAAATTTGCCAAAATACAGTTTCCTACAACACTTAACAGTGGTTTATTAAATGGATAAAGAAATTACTGACACTAAGACTGCCAAATCATTATCTCCATGACATACATTTTCAGGAATTCTACATATGGAGGCCCGGTTGGCAGAGAGGAAATTCATGAACCCTTTCAACATGCCTAATCTTTATCAGAAGTTGGAGAGTGATCCCAGGACAAGGGCACTGCTTAGTGATCCTACCTACCGGGAACTGATAGAGCAACTAGGAAACAAACCGTCAGACTTGGCCATGACACTACAAGATCCCCGGATCATAACCACTCTCAGTGTCCTCATTGGGGTTGATCTGGGCAGCATGGATGAGGAAGAAGAGGCTGCAACACCCCCGCCTCCACCTCCCTGCAAAAAGGAAACCAAGCCAGAGCCAATGGAAGAAGATCTCCCAGAGAATAAGAAGCAGGCACTGAAAGAAAAAGAACTGGGGAATGATGCCTACAAGAAGAAAGACTTTGACTCAGCCCTGAAGCACTACGACAGGGCCAAGGAGCTGGACCCCACCAACATGACTTACATTACCAATCAAGCAGTGGTATACTTTGAAAAGGGCGACTACAATAAATGCCGGGAGCTTTGTGAGAAGGCCATCGAGGTGGGGAGAGAGAACCGAGAAGACTATCGACAGATTGCCAAAGCTTATGCTCGAATTGGTAACTCCTACTTCAAAGAGGAAGCGTACAAGGACGCTATCCATTTCTACAACAAATCACTGGCAGAGCACCAAATCCCAGATGTGATCAAGAAATGCCAGCAGGCAGAGAAAATTCTGAAGGAGCAAGAGCAACTGGTCTACAACAACCTCGACCTGGCATTGGAGGAGAAGAACAAGGGCAATGAGTGTTTTCAGAAAGGGGACTATCCCCAGGCCATGAAGCACTATACAGAAGCCATTAAACGGAATACACGAGATGCCAAACTGTACAGTAATCGAGCTGCCTGCTACACCAAACTCCTGGAGTTTCAGCTGGCACTCAAGGACTGTGAGGAATGTATCCAGCTGGAGCCAACTTTCATCAAGCCATGAAGGACTACACAAAAGCCATGGATGTGTACCAGAAGGCACTGGAACTGGACTCCAGCTGTAAGGAGGCAGCAGATAGTCATCAGCGCTGTATGGTAGCTCAGTACAATTGGCACGACAGCCCGGAGGATGTGAAGTGACGGGCCATGGCCGACCCTGCGGTACAGCAGATAATGAGTGACCCAGCCATGCGGCTCATCCTGGAACAGGTGCAGAAGGACCTCCAGGCACTCAGTGAACACTTAAAGAATCCCGTAATAGCGCAGAAAATCCAGAAGCTCATGGATGTGGGTCTGATTGCAATTCGGTGATGACTTGCTCATCTCTTCCCTTCACCCTCGTGGAAAGACGAGCTGGGATGGCAGCAAGCAGCATGGTGCAGGAGGAGAGGGAGGAAGACAGCCCATCTTTATATTTATACCTGCCTATGTGGAAGACACAGACTCATACAGCCGCTGCCTTGGGCCCTCTGAGCACTCCCATGGTCTCTCACTGCTGTCCTTGGGTTCCGTGTCTCCTTCCCCTGCCCCCTCAGTCGCTGTCTCCGCTGCTCCCCATAGTTAGTTATTTTTTTATTTGGGGCAGTGAGCATATATGGGGAGGGGAAGGTGTTCTTCCCAACCTGGGGCCCCAGCTGTCTTCACATTGTTAACTCTACGCCTTCTTCAATAAAACAAGCCAATCAGGAAAAAAAAAAACTATTCTTTCTACTCTGAAAGGATGATGGACTAATTCACATCTACATATTATCTTCACTTATGAAATAATTTCTATAATTAATTTAATTTTGTGTAATTTAAATCATTTGCATTTATTCTGACTTTTTACTATTCTCTCCATCATTCTTTGGGTAGTAGTTGCTGCTATTGCTGCTGGGTTTTAGTGCTGGGGATCAAATCCAGGGCTTCATGGACATTTGGCAAGCATTCTATCACTAATCTACACCCTCCATGCTTTTAAATATCATTTGCCCAACATAAGATTTGACATGTATAAGAAACAAAGTTTCTGTTTAGAAGAGCATCCTTTTCTTTTTTAAAATTGATTAATTTATTTTAATTAGGTATATAGACAGTACAATGCATTTTTTATAGTCTATTAACTTATCTTTATTACTTTGCCCTCCTTATTTTGTTTCAAAAATTATGGTTTTTAAGGATACAGATCCTGCATTTTATTTTTTTCTTTATTTTTTTATTAGTTACACATGACAGTACAATGATCTTGACAATTGATATATTTAAATCAAATGGGGCATAATTTCTCATTTTTCTGATTTTACAGGTTGCAAAATCACATTGGTCATACAGTCACCTATATACATACAGCAATAATAATGTCTATTTTATTCTTCTGCCCTTCCTATCCCCTCTTCCCTTCCCCTCCCCTCCCATCACATCAGAAGAGCATTCTTTTCTTTGAAGTGTTTCTCAATGCAATATGGACATCTTTGTTTCTCAAACTGTAGATGACAGGGTTCCTTATTGGTCCCACAACAATATAAAAAATTGTGGATACTTTAATCTCGATCCAAAGACCCAGTAGGAGAAGGTGTAAGGTACATGAATGCTAATGCTCCAAAGAAAAGAGAAATAGCAATAATATGAGAGCTGCAGGTACTGAATGCTTTAGACCTGCCCTCTGTGGAACAGATGCCGGAAATGTTGGACAGAATCAAGGTGTAAGAAATGAAGATGATAATGCTAGGCCCTATAACATTGACACCCACCACAATGAAAACTACCAGCTCATTGATGGAGGTGCTTGTGCAGGAGAGCTTCAGGAGAGGAGGTATGTCACACATGTAGTGACTAATGATGTTGCTTTCATAGAAGCTGAGTCTTATCATGCATTCAATGTGGGCCATGGCACTCATAAGCTCCATGGCATACACACCCACCATCAGCAAGAGGCAGACTTGATGGGTCATGGTGACCTTGTAAAGCAGAGGCCAAAGATAGATCATAGGCCATTGATGTCAAAATATAGCACTCGTCGAAACAAAAAAGCAGAAGAAAAAGAATCAAGCCATGCACTCTGCATAAGAGATGACGTTCTGATTTATATATAGCGCATCAGCATTGGCGGTGTGGGGGGGGCTAATGACGAATGAGTAGCAGAGATCTGTGAAGAAAAGGTTGAAGAGGAAGTAGTACATGGGAGTGTGCAGGTGAGGATTCAGAACAATCAGAACAATCAAGCCCAGGTTCCCCACCACAGAGACCACGTAGGTTCCTAAGAAGAGGAGGAAAAGAGGCAGCTGGAGCTCTGGCTATTGTGTTAAACCCAGCAGGATAAACTGGGTACTGAAGAGCCATTGCCTGAGTCCATTCCCCCCTGAGACAAGTCTGTGAGAAAAGAAGAAATAGAAACATTAAAATGAGAACTCAGCTCTTTCCACCCAGACCCAATATAATGAGATGGAGACCTAAATGGGGAGATGAACTCAAGCTCACCTTTATCTGTGTCTGTTTTCTCCATTTTGTAATCTTCAGAAGATATATAAAATATGAATATTTTTTAAAAACACAAGGCAATTTCTGAGAGGATAAGGTTCAGCTCCCACCCACAGGATCATCAGCAGGGAGCAGATGAGGTTTTTCAAGGACTCTCTGGCTCCCACAATTGAGGTTTGGAAGAATAGCAGGAGGTACAATTCAGCACTCACCCTCCTGCATCAGGACTTCAGGAGAGGCTCTTGATAACACTTCTGCTCTATTCTCAGAGAATGATAGATAACTATGATAAATTTTAGAGGGGCACAGCCCAGAAAAGAGTTTTTCTTCTTTTGATGTTATTGCTTTTGTTTGGGGTGAATTTTGGACAGAGGAATTCAGCACACAACCCTCAGTCTTTCAGGCTCTGAGAAGCTATGAATTACAGAACATGATTTTGATGGTGGTTTTGCCCACTGTGCTATTCACCCTACAAGGTAATAAATAGATTCTACTGTTACCATAAAAGCCATCTACTAATATGACCCAAGAGGTTTTATGAGTTTGGAAATACTAGGGGCCTGATTAAAAATTTGGAAGACCTGTTTTCCCCAGAGATCAGGTTTTGCAGTTAAAAGATCTTATCCAACCTGTATCTATCTATATCTATCTATCTATCTATATCTATCTATAGATAGATAAATAAATAGATACAGATATAGATAGTTATAGACAGATATCTATAGATAGATAGATAGAGATATTTATCTATAGATAGATATATAGATAGATAGATAGAGGTATGTGTCTTCCTTCAATATATGTACCCACATACATTTGAAACTAAGCTCCATAATTCATGGATTTTTAATTTGTTCTTCAATCCTGTTTCTTCAGCACCTGTAATTGTATCTAGCATGTACAGTAGGTAGTTAAGAAATATTCATATAATAAAAGTTGGATGGTTGAGGATGCCTTTCCTATTTTTCCTGAAACCTGTACTGGATACCACACAGACTTTTTGCTCCACTGGCAAAGGCTTATGTACTATAAATGCTTTTATTTGTAAACAAGAATGCAGTGCAGGAAAAACATCACTAAGACAAGTAAAAGCCACTACTGGACTTGTAAAAGGTCATCTAGGAGCCCTCCAGGTCCAAGATGATAAGCTCAAAGAAAGATTGCAGTTGAAAAAATCTTATCTATCCTACATTTACAGTTCCATTCATGATAACAACATGAAGTATCCTCCCTGAATGTCACCCTGAGGACTTCCACAGGCTGTCTATAAGGTCCCAATATATCAGAAGCAAATTTGAGTAAGTGTAGCAGAGGAAACTCTCAGTTTCCTAAATCAGAACCCACTCCCTCTAGGAGGGCATTGGGAGCCACTCAAAGTTTTTATTTTTATTTTTATTTATTTTAGTCACAGGATTGAAACAACCACACTGCTGACTTAGAAGAATTGTATGGTGGCATTGGTAGGAATGACCAGTGTTAGAGAGATGAAGATAATGTGAGGTAATAACAAAAGTGAATGGATTAACTGAACAGGCACTTCACAGAAGAAGTAATACTAATGGTCAACAAATATATTAAAAAATGTTCAGCAATTAGAGAAATGCAAATTAAAACCACACTGAGATTCCCTCTCTCTCCAGTTAGAATTGCAATTTCAAGAATACAAGTAGCAATAAATGTTGGCAACGATGTGGGGAGAAAGGTACACTCATACATTGCTGGTGGGACTGCAAATTGGTGCAACCATACTGGAAAAAAATATGGAGATTGCTCAGAAAACCTATAATCCCAGTGGCTCCAGAGGCTGAGGCAAGAGGATAATGAGTTCAAAGCCAGCCTCAGCAGAAATAAGGTGCTAAGCAACTCAGTGAGACCCTGTCTCTAAATAAAATACAAAATAGGTCTGGGGGACGCTGGGGTTGTGGCTCAGCAGTAGAGTGCTCATCTAGCACGTGCAGGCCCAGGGTTCGATCCTCAGCACCACATATAAATAAATAAATTAAAATAAAGGTATTGTGACCAAGTACAACTAAAAAATAAATTTTTAAAAAACGCTTTTTAAAAAAATAGGTCAGTGGCTATAGACGGTGTGGCACCAAGAAGCAGCCAGCAAGCAGAGAGAAACGTTGCTGTAGATTCTGTGGAATCCTGCCGGCTGAGCCCTCACTGACCCCTGGGCTGAGTTCGGGATCTCAGACGGGGAAGGAAGCGGTACAGTTCTATCCCCCACAACGGAAACTCCACCAAGGAAACCAGCGGCCGCCATCTTAGAGAGCTGAAGTAACCACCACCACTCTCCGACAGATTGAAACAATAAAACAGGTGTGTATTACTCAGCTCATCTCTCATATAGCGGGGAATTCGCATAAAATCTCTCCTAGGCTTTCCAGGGGAGGGATTATCAGAGTAAGCCTGCATAAAGACTCGAGGAAAACTAGAGACACCTGACCTTAAACGCCCCCTCCCATCAGCGTCAAAAAACGAAACCTGTCTTGCCAGCGCTGGGGGAGGGGCAAGCGGAAAAAATCAAAACAATAGAGTGCCGGGGTTCTCAATAGCAGCCCTCCACACCAAACAAACGGCAGACCCAGAGTACAGTTTGAACTGCCAAGAGGCATCAGTCAGGGGAAATCTGGTCTAGCAGGAGAAACCAGGACTAACAGGATAAACCACCGGACTAGAGGCCAGGCCAGCATGACTGGGCGTCTGGAGAACGCCCGCCCATCGGCGACCGACCACACGACTGGGCGGCTAGAGATTGCCTGCTCGCCAGGGACAGCCCACCCGCTGCCCATGTGACTGGGTGGCTGGAGACCACCCACCCGCCGGTGACCAATTGCCCACCAGCTGCCCTCGCAAGTGGGCGGCTGGAGTCCGCCCCCCGTGCCGGTGACCGATAGCCCGCCGGCTGCCCGCTGGACTGGGCAGCTGGAGACCGACCACCCGCCGGCGAACTACCGCACGACTGGGCAGCTAGATATCGCCAGCCCGCCAGCAACAGCCCACCCGCTGCCCGAGCGACTGGGTGGCTGGAAACCGCCCACCAGCCGGCGACCGATAGCCCACTGGCTGCCCACGCGACTAGGCGGCTGGAGACCACCTACCTGCTGGCGACCAACCTCGTGACTGGGCAGCTAGAGATCGCCCGCCCGCCGGCGACAGCCCACCCACTGCCCGCACAACTGGGCAGCTGGAGACC